GACGGTACTTTCGTTTTATTGTAGACTTTGGCTTCTGGTTGAGTTATAGGAATAAGTAAAAAAGACTAATGCCCATGTTCTGTGTGCACTAGAAGACGTGTTTTACGTTTCATTCTTATTTAAGAACAGTCTGCTTCAACTAAAACTAATCATGTCATTTCAACAACCTTCTAATGTAAATGTTCAATAAATTAATTAAAATTACGTATAACTGAAGATCTATATGCTTTTAATAAGGATTGTAACGCCCAAAATTTAATGTCTCTCCTATGCTGTATAATTTCTACATATTGCCGAAGAGCTTGAAGGCAGTTTACAACAGCGGTTGAAAGATGTACAGTGCTTGTTTATTCAGTACCAGTTACATGTATTTTACAGCCTGAAAGAGACGCTTTTTAATATGGACTACCTCAACCCAAATTACGGATCCTCTTGCGTTACTTGAGTTCCATCTGTCCTCCAGAACGCAATGTGGTCTTGATCTAATTTTCCTGTTTTAGCACATCAAAATACATATGTAAATGAAATGAAAATATCAAGACAGGTGTTTCTGACTTGTGGATGCATTCATCATGTTAATGTCTGCAAGTACGTTAAAAGAACTACCGTTATGTAGCTGCAATTTAACTGTTTTGCCAAAATGAATAATTTTCTTGTAGAAGAGATCGTGCAATTTAATGTCAGTCTAAAACACCTGTTATTCTCATCCTTTCCTCAATTATTACCGAACCCAAGAAAAAGCAGTACATTTGTATTCCTGTACAGGGCCAAACTACGAAGATAAACTGAAGATATATTAGAAATCATTCCCTCATGTTTTCATGAATATGTTAGTTGCGGATCTTTGTGACATTGGGGGAAAGACATGAATGATAATTTTCATGAACATCAATATAATTGTAAAAGCAAACAGTTAATATGCTGCTTTAACTTAATTTAATTGCATGTTTGAAATATTTCTGTGTTTTCTAAATATGTTTTAATAAGAATGTTCAACATTCATGACAAACAGAGGCTCATGTGCTTTCACTGCTGGCCAGTGATTCTGTTGTTAAGAGAAATGCAGTATGCTACAGAAAGGAGAGAAAAATAGCAGTTCCTATAAACATGGTCAAAGAGTGCTTACGCAATACATATCTGCCGTTTCTCACATCGAGCATGTTTTTTGTTCTTTTAGTAAGGTTTCTTGCAGATCTTGAAATTGTTACTTCTTATTATCACTGCAGTACAAATTGACAGAATTGTGTAGGTTCTGTGCTCTCTGCTGCCTGCTAGTCAAAGGGCTGATGTATTGGGGTTTCTTGGCAGTATTATTTGACATATAAGCATTTTAAAAACAAAAACAAGTGATCGTTTGTTTAAGTCCAGACAGTGAGATCTTATGTTAATGCAATTAAAATCCACAGCTAATTTAAAGCAATTGTGTCATTTGGTGCTTTATGTGGAAGTTTCTTTTTAGATCACAATTGCAAATGCTCAGACTGAATCAGACATAATGATCCAACCTATGTGGCTACTCTTCAGACTAAATAGTGATTATTTTGTCTGTGTGGGGATGTTTTAAGGAATACAGCTATGAAAGGAATAAAGAGTTTTGGACAAAATCAAGTCCCTAATGTCTTTACTGTAGCAGCACTGTACTAGGGCATAATGAGCACCCTATATCATCAAGGTTTAAGAACTTGAAAAAGAAGAGACAAAACAAATCTAATGGAGTTAATTCTTAACAGATTCAAAGTTGTTGGCAGGCAACCATGACATGGTGTGTTCTAAAACTAGCCTTACATATGTAAATCTTACATACAGTATGTATCTTATCTTCCTGGAAGGGGGCTGAATGGAGGTGAAAGAATCAGACCAGAGGAATAGTGTACCCCTCTCATTTACACTGCCCACCAGTTCACTGGGGAATGCATTTTTAAAGAAACTCGTCTTTTTCTTATTTGATTAATAGTAAATACCGAACAACAAAGCATCCTGCAATACACAGTTATTTGCAAGCCTAATCAATTAAAAGGAATAAATATGTACAACATAAATACATTACAGTTATTGTATATTTTTATTAACTCTTACATATTCAAATGTAGTCAGTAGGAAGTAGGAATAAGACCAAAGGGTAAAATGGAGACAGATGTCACATTTAGCTGTAGTAGAATCAGTTCAAGAACACAAGTTCATTTGCTTTCACTTTTCATGTTCTAATTAGGAATATCCTGAGGGAATCGGCTTGAATTTTTGCTTTTGAATGCTGGCCATCCTGAAAAAAAGCCATTCATGGATTAGGAGTATTGACCAGAGACAGACTGCTTTCTGCAAAAAGACATGACAGTGGAAATTGAATGGTTTCTGTATTGGACTGGTCAAAAGAAGTTTTCATTGACAACAGGAAGGTTAGCCCTGGATATAATTGGCCATAATGGTGAGACTGTTGATCGTTACAAGTTTCTCTGCATCATCATTTAGACTTCCCTGGTGGGATGTCAGGACCACCATGAAAAAAACACAATATCAAACACGTTTTCCTTTGCTGGCAACTTTAAGGGGAGTTCAAGTTTAAGACATTCCCCTTTTTAAATGCACTTTTTAATACATTGTAGGATGGAAGTGCAACACAAAATGATCATTGGCATC